AAAAAAAAGAATTAGACCATACCGTAGCTCCACAGACCGTCTGACACTGAGCACTGCACTGTTGTTCACAGTTTGTTCCACCTTGTTCATGGCATTGTTGTATGCAAGTCGTCTGGCATTGGCTGCACGAATCTTGTGGGTACTGTAAAAAAGTACCATTTTTCTTGACCATAATTTCAGGAAAATTGTCGTGACCCCCCATCCTGCATAGATTGACGAGGGTTTAGACATGGAGCAGCAGTGACAGATTTGAAAGTTCAGCCCTATGAATCAGGATTTTCTATTCACAATATATTTTCTTGAATTAAGTGTTGGGAACATTTCAATTTGAATGTTTCAAAAACTCAGCAACGAAGTTTGTATGTTGAAACTTCTATACTCACAGGCTCGTAGATTTGTGGTGATGGTGTAGTGACCGGAGAACCACAAGCTGGTGCACAGTTCTGAGTGCAAACTTCTTGGCATTGCTGTTGTGATTGTCCCGAAGCAGTGCATTCGTTCATACATGCACCCATGCACTGTTGACAAGGGTTCTCCTCTTCGTAGTAAGGAGTGTAGATAGTTGGCTGTAACGTAGGATCATTCCATTGCGGAAAAACGTGAAATACCGTATACGTAAGCTTACTGTAGGTGTGACTGGTTGGTAGGTTACTGGTGGATAGGTGATTGGTGCCATTGTGGTGGTTGTTGGTGGAAGAGTTGGCGGCGTAGTAGTTGTAGTGGGTGGAAGTGTCGGTTGGGTAGTTGGGATAGTGCTTGGGAAGGTAGATGGAATGATGCTGGGCGTACTGTATACCGTTGTTTGTGGACTGTATGGTTCGACACTACAACAGAGAGAATTTACAGCGTTGATTGTACGGCAGGACAATAAAAGTGGTTTTTTTGAATTAGTAAGATTTTTGTTGAATATGGTGTAGTAATCTCTCCCTTCCCAAAATTTCATTATTTTGAAATTTTTCCCGATTTAAGAAAGAAAAACGATGAAAACTCTCAATTTTGGACTTTACAAAAGTGCGCCATACTTACAAGATAATTTATCTTTTGATTTCCCCACCTTACGAGAAAACTCCATGGTATGTTCCCTTCCTCTTGCAGCAAAACAACAACAACAACAACAATACGCTCTCCGAAAACTTTGCTCCTCTCCACTGTTCACACAGTAATACTCCAGAAAATCCTATGTTTACCCTGACTTACCATCCAGCTTGACAAGCTTGCAAACAAGCCGCTTGATTTGATTGCCCTTGACAAGCGATATTGCATTGCTGCATGCAAGATGTGGTCTACAACGAGAATGTGAAGGAAAAAAAACCACAGCAGGATATCGAAACAGGACAGCAGGATTATGACCACACCTGTGAGCTGCATGCTGACGTACAAGTATTGCCGCATGTCTGCTGACATTGCATCATTGGCATAGCACATGAGCTCATGCAAGTCGACTGACATAGTGGAGCACACATTGTCATCTAGAAGTACAGTAACTCAAAGGGCAAAGTCTGATACTTTTAATCACGGTAATATTACCTGATGTATTGCACACTGGCACGTTGCAAACTGCAGTGGTTGCATACAGGAACAACTGTGTTGCATGCAAGAACACCTTGGCATCTGATAGCATCCACAGCGACGCTTGCGAATCTGAATGGCGTACGGTAGTTACGGTAGCATAGGAATGCCTTTGTTATCTCTGCAGCCTCTTCCATAAATTGTATCTCTGCTACATTAGATATAAGGGCATACTGTAGGTGCCAGCAATAAGAAATATAGAAAATCATAAGCAGTAAGACTGATATTAGGATAGCCTCTAATGTCATGCATTTACTCTCAACGTCAATTATTAAGGCTGGCGAAGGCTTGCTTATATCGTAATTGACAGAAAAATAAGATACAACAGTCAACAAAAAGAAATTTGTAACGAAGAAATGAAATAGAAAATCCAGTTTGCGATGGATAACAATGTTTTTGCTTTAACATCATTATAGTATAATGTAATTTTTACTAGTAAGTAAGGACTAAGTAGTATGATAGGTAAAATTACCGGTTCAGCTACAGTCAAAGCAACATAGCAGGCGGCGACGACGAACAGAAAACGCATGTTTGCTCGAAAACGAATGGCAGAGGTTGTCCGGCGCGCTTTATATTGCTGCCGTCGAGGCCGCTCGTCGACCCGTTCCGGTCCGGCCGGGAACGTTGACGTGATGCTGGCGATAATTCCGGATAAGAGTCAACCAGTGATTCGTTTGAAGTTTTTATTTGCTCGCCGTCGGTGCGCTCGTCGACGACGACGGCGACGACGACGGCAGCAACGCTTGGAACTTTGGAGTACGCATGTTTGCGTTCACATGTACGTAAGAACGCTGCGTTCTCTGCTGCAAAATTCGATGCAAGTAGACCAGTTCCGTTACAGAGCTATACTTTGTGGCGCACGCGCGATCATACACGCGATTGTGACAAATACGGTAAAAAACCGCCCTGCACAACATGCTGAGCTACTCGTGGCTCATTCATAAAACCATTTGCGATAATTCACTCAAAATGTTGTACCAGCACTTGTAATCCGAGTACTCTCCAAAGTGAACTGCTCTCAATTTCGAGCAATCGAGTTTTGCAAAGACTCCGCTCTTCTTTTTAGCGATTTGAGCCAGGCGATTAGCTTGTTTTCGGGGTTCTCGATAGATGCGACCTAAGTTCAAGTGTAAAGACATCTTTTCCATAAGGGTTCAAAGTAATTTTATCTTTTTGGAGCACTTACTTGTAAGTCATGGATCTGTTTCATCAATACTGAGCTTCCAGAGTTCTGTTTTGCAATTTTTTTAAAAAATGGATTATCTGAGTACTTTTTCTTCTTAAAGACTTTTTTATTATAAGGTTTAAGGAAGCTCACAAATAGTTTTCAAATTATGCGATTTTCTATGACCGTTCCCATGAATAATTTATTTCAAACTGAAGTCGCAGAATTTTTTGAACCACACATGGCAAAAGCTTGAGAACAGAAGAGTTTTAATGCGTTGATCTTAAATTTAAAATCCTAAAAAATTCTATAATGGCAACTGAACCAGAAAGCTCACCATTAAATTCACTTTGAAGTTATAAATTCCATAATTTCTTTGAGCAATTTTAGAAATTTGCCCTAATCTCCCTCTTGGAAAGAGACTTTTCTATAATTCACATCATTTCGAAAAAAGTCTAAAAACTTTGCCCATTTTCTCTTGCAAATAATGTAATTAAATGAAAGTAAAACAAATTAAGAAATTTATCGTCAAAATGGTGGCGAGAATTTTGATTTCTAACTTTAGAATATCATTCCTTTAAAGTATGCTCAACAATGCGCTTGAAATGCTCAACGTTTTTTTTT